CAAACATTTCGATCATGGATTACAAAAAAAAACAAACATTTCTATCATGTATTACAAAACATTCAATCATAGATTACAAAAAATTCTATCATGGGTTACAAAAAAAAACAAAAAACAAAAAATTCGATCATGGATTACAAGAAAAAAAACAAACATTTCGATCATGGGTTACAAAAAATTCGATCATGGATTACAAAAAATTCTATCATGGGTTAACAAAAAAAAAAAAAACAAAAAAATTCGATCATGACGTTACAAAAAAAAAAAAACAATTCGATCATGGATTACAAAAAACAAAAAAATAAAATAAAATAAAATAAATAAATAAATAAATAAATTCCGTACGGGACTCGCCGATTCCGTACAGTGAATCGGCGAGTCACTGTACAGAATCGTCCGGTTCTCTCTAGAACCGGACGATTCCCGTTTTTTTCGTCGATTCGATCCGTCCATGGCGATTCCCGAATCGAACCGGGCGACTCGGCACGTTTTTTTAAACACTGGTTAGAAGCATGGTGCATTCTCTTGAGGTTTCGCTCTTGCATTACGTTTCCACCAGTTATGAGAAATTTGTCATTTTTCAATACTCAGAAGCTATTTGAATGAATTAAGGTTTTGATTAGCTTTCAGAAGCATGATACAAGCGAGTGGGAGTTCCTTTCAACTAATTCAATCAGCATGAGGCAGGGTACGATGCTGCACGAGTAGTTGCGAAAACATCTAAACCTTCTCTACTTAGGTTGGAACAGTGAACTGTGGTGGACCTAAAAACGGGGCAAGAGAATGCTAATTCAACGATCACAAACACTAAAAAGCGATACCCAAAATTCAATTATCAAACATTGTTCTAGTTTGGGATTTTCAAAAGAAATTAAGTCATGGGAGACGAAAAATATGATAACTAAGGTCATCGGTGTGTCTTCTGTTACTTCTGTACTTTACTTGGGTTAAACAGCCGCGTTTGTACAGTTTAGTAAAGAGCAATATGCCCAAGATTTTATTGTATTAAAGGAAGAGAAAGTGACCTGAAATTATTGGAAGGAGGGAACACTTGGGCGCTCAGTATGACATTTATGAGGAGATTTGCAGTTTGCCTATCTCCAGAGTTTTGTTTGCCGACCAGGTGGAAGCCATGGGTATTGAATGGAAAACAAAGGTTGAGATACAAAAACTAGAGCAGGCAAAAGTTGGTGAATGAGGTAGTGATAAGAAGAATGAGGTTGTAGCTGAAAAGAAGATTTTGAGAGATGGGAAACAACAGATAGAAGGCTCAGTAACTGTTTGTCAAGTGATAGCATCTTGGATGTTTTGTATAGTAATGGATCTCTTCTTTTTGAGAAGGTGAGAACTTGAATTTTTGGTTCTCTTTTGTTGTTATTATTTAAGTTTTGAAGGAGAGAGAGATTTCGTTATTAAGTGTATGATTTATAGTTGCGATGCTTTAATGCAAGGGTGTATTTTATTTTGGGGTCCAATGTTTAAAAAATGCTGATGTGGATGGGACTTGCCTGATCTAGAACAAGAATCGTCGAACCGGTTCACATTAAATGTGGAGAACTTGTTTCTCCCATAAACACAGTCGGCTCTAGCTAACTCTTTGATTGAACCGGATTCTCTGATGGAACTAGGCACTTTTGTTAAGAACCGGTCAATATTGAAAATCCAGAGAGGTGATCCATCTCACTGAAATGTGGTAGTAAACTCTCTCTCTCTCTCTCTTAGTTGTACTTCTCATTCAGCTAGGGTATGGATTCATCCTGGAAAACCATGAGGTGCCTTTTCCAAACGAGGGCTCCTCATTGCAATGCTTTCCCATGCTGAACTTTTTTCTATATTCTTTACTCCTAGCTTCTCTATTTCTAGGTTCTAGTTTTCTTATACGTTTGGTCTTTTATTGAACCAAAAAACTCTACAAAGGTATATCTCAAAAAACCCACTGAAAAGAGTTGTTCTTATGTTGTAGCACCGATTATCTTTGATCTTGAGATGCATGGATATGAAAAAAATTGATGTTAAGCCTTAAAAATAATGAATCTTGTAGCATCTCATCTAGATTGTCCATTTTCACAATTTGTAAGTATTTATAGATTTATTTAATCTATACTTTCTTTGGAGCTTTTAAATTTTGTAACTAGGGATAAAAATAATTTTTTT